ACCCTAATACCCTAATACCCTAATACCCTAATACCCTAATACCCTAATACCCTAATACCCTAATACCCTGGTACCTGGTACCCTGATACCCTAATACCCTAATACCCTGATACCCTAATACCCTGATACCCTGATACCCTAATACCCTGATACCCTAATACCCTAATACCCTAAAATCCTAACACCCTAATACCTGGATACCCTAATACTGTAAGACTGTAATACTCTAATACCATGATACCCTAATATCTTAAAAATCTTATACCCTATGTAATACCCTAATAAAGAAATACCCTTATAACCTTATACACTAATAGCCTGATACCCTAATACTGTAATACCCTAATACCTAAATACCCAAATACTTAAATACACCAATACTTTAATACCCCAATACTGCAGTTGAGGCTTGGCTATATTACAGAAGACAATTTGTCTTGTGATTCGTATCAATATTACGTCCTTCAATTGAAAGGTCTTATGTGGTTTTTATGAGAACCTATTACAATGCACACTCTGAAAAGAAATGTTTGAGCTCATCGGAGTCATGTGTGATCAGGGTGCCCCCTTGAGACTAGGCCAAATTTCTGGAATAGTCAATCAAAATAATGTTAAATGTTGGAAGGTGCGGCAAAAACACTTAATGACTTATTTCAAGTAAACTCACAATTTCCCTTGGGGTTGAAATACAAAGATAAATAAAAATAAATGATACCTGTTGTTCCAGCATCATAACTACCACCATTCCTGCAAATAGAAATCAGAAAGCTTGAACAAAAATATAGAGTACATATTTTATGCTGCTCAATATCTTTTAGTTAGCGCATGTTAGAGATTTACTTAGAAGTTAGAACCAACATATACAGCTTAACCAACAGTATCACAATACATGTATTTGAAAATATTGCCTGTTGATAGCTTTCTTGTTACACACTACAGTTTCAACAGGCTTGCAAGTTTTAGCCTTCTATTACTCTTGATCCCCTCAATTAACATCCTGATCGATACTTGGTTGACACTGACCTCAATTGACACTCGATCAACAGTCGGTCATATGCATCGATCAAAACAGTTAACTTAGTCAACTCTCGACTGACTGTTGACCAAGATGTCAATCAAAGTGTTGACTACTAAGTGCATGTAGATGAAGTGTCGATCAAGTAACGATTGATTGTTGATTGAGGATATCGACGGACGCTCAACCGTGGATGCCTGTACTACACACTGATCCAAAACTTACAAGTTTCAATTATGACATTAGCTGACTCCTAAACCACAAAACTACTTTTCACCCAAGCAAGAGGGCTCTGCGAAGACCTTGCAAACCTAAAGCCTAGCTTTGGAAGGTACTGTGAAAGTCATATTTCTACCATACTCAAGCAGGCCTGGGTCAAGGATGTAAAGAAGAATTATGGTTGGGCAGCTATATCTCTTGTTATCTATATAACCTTGCTACGTTTGGGATGATTTTCCTTGATTTCGTTTTTAGAAGATATAAATGATCAAAGTCAAATTTTGTTGAAAAGAAAAAAACGACCTTTGACTCTATAAAATTTTTCTGCACAAAGAGGGACAATCATTCCAAAAATGAGGGGAGGAAATAATTGACCTGCATTAAAACACATTTTTGTTCAAATGATGGTAAAAAATTGCTAAAAACCACCACCAATTCCTCAAATAATGGTGATTTTCCACTATGTCA